TACATATGTATATTTATGTAAATTACAACCGGCCCTTTGAGTGCAACCATAATGCTGATGTGGCCCGGATGAAATTGAGTTTGACACCCCTGCTTTAAGCCATAAGCGACAACTAAAGTGATTCAGTGTCTTCAGCTGTTTAGTCTCTCTATTGAAGAATGTTGATTGCCCTCAGCAAACTAGTTAAAACCTCCTACCAGAGAGGAGAACCCTCAGAATTGATTTGGCATCTCAACCGTGTGGTCAACTCGTGGCTCGTGACATGTCTTGTGAATTCTCCGGCCGAAGCTCAGAATAAACCGTCAGTGTTTGCCATCAAAGCTCCAGCCCTCCTCGTGTCTCTCTGAGTCCTGTTTCCAATTGCTTCAGAAGTTTCCCCCACACATGGTAATGCTTCTCCCTTTACAGACCACTCCAACAGCCAATGACTCTGAGTATGCAAAGGTCCATATTCCTCTGGCTCTCATGAGGTACAGGGACTTCCTCGAAGCACAGCAGGTGAGAAAGCCTTTATTTTCCGCTGCCATTGAATCTGGTCATGTTACCACCCCTTTTAAAAAGGCTCAGTTGATACAGAAGGTCGAGTTGGATGCACAGTTTCCCTTTAAACGTTTATTCTTTGTGTGTGTGGTGATTTGTTTTTTTTCAGGTGTTTGGTGATGGGATGCAGGCGCAGCTTTATGCTCCTCCAAACTCAAAGATCGATGCAAGCATTGCGGTCATGCTAATCATTGCCATCGTCACCATCGCCTTGGGTGGATACTGGAGCGGGACATGTGAGAGGTAAGACGGATACAGAGCAGTATCTAAACATTTTTTATTAAATCAAACTCAACACATTTTGGAGGATTACACAATTGCTAAATTGTTACTATGTGGTGTTATACGACTGCTCTTAGGCCAGCACTAACGGCACATACTCTTAACAAAAAGAAAATGTTATTCAGCTAAATTAAAGTGCCAATAAAGGATTCTCAATAAATGGGGTGTTGATGTCAGTATAATCAGTGGTGTCAATGTTCATGAGTGATGTATGTGTGAGTGTAGGTGTTGTAAAGTGCAAAACAAGGCATAAGAATAAATCAGCATAATAATCCACCTGTAGCAGGAAAGGAAAGACAGCTGCAGAGAAAGACAGACAGACAGACAGCCAGCAAAAGGCTTAAATTACCTATTAACACGCCGAGACCCCCAGGTTACACTAATGATGACCCCCCCTGCAGAGAGTCAGGTGAATTCACTTCGAACTAAAAACGAGACACGGCAGGGGTCAAAACATGCTTTCTTAAAGTAGAGCTATCATATCTGATTGCTAACAATTTTATGTTCGACCCCCTGTGTATTGGATTGTACCTTAGTACTAGTTTTTTAAACAAAAACCAAACGTTTTCTTTCCTGTGTGTGACAGAGACCGGCTGAACGGTGTGTCAGGAGGAGGGGGAGAGAGCAAGGCAGACAGCGGAGAGCTTTTCCTCTACTCTCCTCTCAAAGTGGTCTTCTTTGTCGCCTTGATGTGTGGGATGCTGGTGCTCATGTACTTCTTCTACAGCGTGCTTGGTGAGTGGCAGGGGGAAAAGAACATCTCTTGTTGTGCTCTGTGGGAGTAATAATATCTGGAGTTTACGTGATGTGTGTTTCCTTTTTCCCCAGTTTACGTCATCATCGTCATTTTCTGCCTGGCGTCTGCCTCTGCCCTCTTCAGCTGTTTCGATGCAGTGTTGGATTTAGTTGGTTGTGGCACTGGGAGGTATGATCATCACTCTTTCCATTAAAAAAAAAAAAAAAAAACAGCATTTGCAATCACACACAGAAAAACACACATGAGGTGTCCACAACTAATAGTTAATACATAGTCAAGTCCTGCATGGTTTCAGGATTTTTCTCATAGAATAGAATTGGGAGGGATGAAACCCCAAGCCCCCAGGAAGTGCGCCGGACTCTGAGGAAAATATTCGTTGTGTCCAAACGGCAGTACTGCAAGTCAGTGATGTTCCTGGGCCCGGAAATACTTTTTCCCATTGACTAACATTGGGAAAGAGACGTCTGTAAATCGTTGGATAATTATTTTTTAACCAAATAAACTACCCGGTGTGAACATTTGTATAGCCCTTATTAAAAACATTCGGTCCTCAAGCTGTAAAATGTGCTAATAACGTTATTCTGAGAGTTATTTTCCTCTGCATTATGAACGCGCATCTGAGAGTGGGAGCTTGGGGGCGGGGCTTAAGGGGCAATTCAACTGTCTCAGTTTTTCGGATTCTATTTTCGAATGACAAATATAGACTACAGCCCCCTGTTGTCATGGAGAGTTAATTTCTCTCATGCAGTGGCAGAATGAGGTTGGCTGTTTACTGTGGTTTTTGTTGTGTTCAAATTTGGTTCAAATGTGAGTTTTTGGCCAAGATGGATGTAACGTGAGGTGGCACAACAATCGGCTCAATCGCAACTAGTTCTTTGATGAATGTTTGGTGTGAACAGGGTTGCAAAATTCCGGGAATTTTCAAAGATGGAAACTTTAATTAACGGGAATTAACGGGAATAAACGGGAATTTATGGGAATAAACTGGGAATTTTCTAAATTGAAGGTTGGCTCTTCATAGGGA